ATTCACTTTTGTGTGTCTTCTCTGATGCTTCCTCAGGTGTGATTTCTAGGGGAAAGTATTTTCACATACATTAAATCCATGGGTCTTTGCCTATGTGAATATTCTCATGTCTACTGACACTTGACTTGTGGTATAAAGATTTTCTACATGTGTTACATTTATATGACTTCTCACCTATGTGAATTCTCTAGTGTGTACTGAGGTTTAACTTACAGTGAAAGGTTTTTCCACACTCACATTCATTTCTTATCTGTGAATTTTCTTATTTCTATTGAGGTGTGATTTATGGAAGAAAGATTTTCTACATTCCTTACATTCATACGATTTCTCACGTGTGTGAGTTCTCTGATGTGCATGGAGGTTTGACTTACAGGGAAAGGTATTCCCACACTCGTTACATTCATAGGGACTTTCTTCAGTGTGAATTCTGTTATGTCTATTGAGGTGTGATTTGTAGAAGAAAGATTTACTTAATTCCTTACAGTCATATGGTTTCTCACATGTGTGGATTCTCTGATGTGCACTGAGGATTGACTTCTGGTGAAAGGCTTTTCCACACTCATTACATTCATAGGGCTTCTCCCCTGTATGGATTCTCTGATGTCTACTAAGGACTGACTTCAGGAGAAAGGTTTTTCCACACTCATTTCATTCATAGGGCTTCTCCTTTGTGTGAATTGCCTGATGCATGCTAAGGTTTGACTTCTGGTAAAAGGTTTTTCCACACTCATTGAATTTATAGGGCCTTTCACCTGTGTGAATTCTCTGATGCCTGCTGAGGTGTGACTTATAGTAAAAGGTTTTTCCACACTCACTACATTTATATGGCCTTTCTTCCCCTGTGTGAATTCTCTGATGCTTCCTGATGTCTGATTTCTGGTGAAAGGTTATTCCACACTCATTACATTCATAGGGACTTTCTTCAGTGTGAATTCTGTTATGTCTATTGAGGTGTGATTTGTAGAAGAAAGATTTACCACGTTCCTTACAGTCATATGGTTTCTCACCTGTGTGGATTCTCTGATGTGTACTGAGGATTGACTTCTGGTGAAAGGCTTTTCCACACTCATTACATTCATAGGGCTTCTCCCCTGTATGGATTCTCTGATGTGTAATGAGGATTGACTTCTGGTGAAAGGTTTTTCCGCACTCATTACATTCATAGGGCTTCTCCCCTGTATGAATTCTCTGATGTATACTAAGGATTGACTTCAGGAGAAAGGTTTTTCCACACTCATTACATTCATAAGGCTTCTCCTTTGTGTGAATTACCTGATGCATGCTAAGGTTTGACTTCTGGTGAAAGGTTTTTCCACACTCATTGCATTTATAGGGCCTTTCACCTGTGTGAATTCTCTGATGCCTGCTGAGGTGTGACTTATAGTAAAAGGTTTTTCCACACTTATTACATTCATAGGGCCTTTCCCCTGTGTGAGTTCTCTGATGCTTGTTGAGGTCTGACTTCCCGTGAAAGGTTTTTCCACACTCATTACATTCATACAGCTTCCCCCTTGTATGAGTTCTCTGATGTATACTAAGGATTGAATTCAGAGGAAAGGCTTTTCCGCACTCATTACATTCATAGGGCTTCTCCCCTGTATGAATTCTCTTATGTATACTAAGGATTGACTTCAGGAGAAAGGCTTTTCCACACTCATTACATTCATAAGGCTTCTCCTTTGTGTGAATTACCTGATGCATGTTAAGGTTTGACTTCTGGTAAAAGGTTTTTCCACACTCATTGCATTTATAGGGCCTTTCACCTGTGTGAATTCTCTGATGCCTGCTGAGGTGTGACTTATAGTAAAAGGTTTTTCCACACTTATTACATTCATAGGGCCTTTCCCCTGTGTGAGTTCTCTGATGCTTGTTGAGGTCTGACTTCCCGTGAAAGGTTTTTCCACACTCATTACATTCATACAGCTTCCCCCTTGTATGAATTCTCTGATGTATACTAAGGATTGAATTCAGAGGAAAGGCTTTTCCGCACTCATTACATTCATAGGGCTT